TCAGTGATCATACCTCATTAATAGGCAGCTTTGAGAGCTGGCTGGGGCAAAGAGAGTCGAGGTGACCCATCCAAAGTGTGAGTCGCAGTGTTCACAGTGTGAACGCTTACCGTGCAGAGGCCCAGCCTCGCCTCAACATTGACCTCTTTTTTTTTTTTTCAATAGGTGGTTGGGGTTAAGTGACTTGCCCAGGGTCACACAGCTAGTAAGTGTCAAGTGTTTGGTCTGAGGCCGAATTTGAACTCAGGGCCTCCTGACCTCAGGGCCGGTGCTCCATCCACTGACCCATCTAGCTGCCCCCTCAACACTGACCTCTTCAAGGGATGTGAAGCCCTTTGGAGGCGGGGGTGCGGCATGGAAGCACCAGCTGGCATAATTTGATTCGTGATTCTCTAGCCGTATACAGGGCAGCGCTGGCCTCGGAGCCCGGAAAGCCTGGCTTCCAGTCTCGCCTCTGACGTGGGCTCATTGGGAGGGTGCCTGGGGTCTCTTTCCTTAGTAGAAAATACTGGCTGTCAAGGGGCCTTTTCTCAAGCATAGGCTGACCCCCTACTCAACAAGGGGCTCCCCGTTACTTTCAAGATGAGGTGGGGAAAGGAGATAAGCATTTCCATAGTCTACTGTGTGCCAGGCCCTGGGCTTGCCTTCGCAATGATCTCATTTGACTGATTTGGGTCAAACCTCAACTCCTCTGTTGGGTATTTCCAGTTCCTCTTCCTGCTTCTAGGGTCTCCTCATCCTTAACCCACCTTGCCCCTTCATACACTGAACTACTTGCATTTCGTAGACTATCTCACCCTCTCCCAACTCCAGGCCTTTGCCCTGGCTGTCCCTGATGCCAGGTGGGCTTTCCCTCCTCACCTCGTGACTTCCTTCAAGACAGCTCAAATCTCACCTCCTACAGGATTTTCCTGGTCCTTCCAGACAATATGGCCATGGTTTCTCAGAAGACCTTTCATCTACTCCAGATAGATCTATGTACAGAATTGTTGGCATACTGTCTCTCCCATCAGACTGGCAGAGAGCATGGGCTGTCTTTCGCCTTTTTTTGAATCCTCAGCCCTTAGCACAGGGCCGGGCACACAGTAAGTGCTTAATAAATGCTTGCTGACTGTCTGACCCTGGGCCAGTCACTTCCATCTGTCAGTGTGGCCCAGGCAAACCCTCTAAGTGCCCGTAGAACCTACACCGATGAAATCACAGGTTTGGACAGGGGAAACTGTATATGAGTGTTTGCATCTATATACACACGTGTATAATATAGACATACACATACATACGTAAATGTGTACATACACATGTGTACACACATATATGAGAGAGAAACAGGTTACATGTTATACACACACACACACACATATATACATACACATGTGGAATACTGGAGTGATCACTGGACTTGGGAGTCTGAGGGTCTGGGTTTGAGGCCTGTCTCTGACACTTTCTAGCAGTATTACTCTGGGTAGTTCATTTACCCTCACTAAGCCTCAGTTTCTCCACCTGTAAAATGGGGGCAATAATCCTTGGCTGTCCCAAACCAGTTAAGCAACATGGGCAGGCGGGTAAGTACCACCGGAGGTCTAAGAGAGGGCATCAGCCTAGCGAGGTTCTCCTGTGGCCCAGGGTGGGGGTGTTCATTTCCTGGGTCCCCCCGTGCGTTTCTGCCCAGTTTCCCTTCCATGGTCTCATCAGGCATTTGGTGCCCAGTTACGCTCCCCACAGGACCTGAGGGACATGTCAGTGCCATCCCTGCCTGGGGTGACAGGTGCCCAGGGGTCAGTCCTCGGAAGCTGGGGACAGTGGTGAGAGAGCCTCCTGGGCTATGGGCCGTGGGGCCCATCAGCCTGGGGCTGGCTTTTGCAGCTACTCTGCCCAACAAGGTGCCCTGGGGAATGGGCAAGGGAAGCGCCCACCCCTGCCAGCCACCTGCCCCCTCCCGTACCCAGCTGCGCCCCTCTGATACCACAAGTCACTTTGCTGTAACTTCCTGTGGGGGCAGGGAAGGGCCTTTCCAGCTCGCCCCATCAGCCCCGACAGCTTCCTTCCTTGCGGCATTTTTTTCTTTTGGGGGAAGTGTGGGTTGGTGGGGGGCAGAATGAATAAGCAGGCACCCACTCAGCTATGGGCTACCCACTCCACAAAAGGACAACCGTCCCCAGCCCCCAACCCTGCGTTGGCCCAAGGGTGAATGGACCCTCTGTGGACCACCAGGTCTGGAACCCAAGAAATTGGGAATTCACCCAGGCCTCGGGCGTCACAGTGGTTTCACCCTTTGCTGGCTAAGCATTATTCACTTGCAGAAAACATGGTGGAAAAGCAGCCCGGGCTCCCTCGGGGGGGGGGGGGGGGGGGGACGGGGCAGAACGGGGGGAAAGGGGGGGCGGGAGATCTGGGGGAGGGGAAGTTGGGAGAACTTCTTTTTTGGGAACAAGAGATTAGGTTAGAGCCTGACTCACTGGAAGGGCCTTATCACGCACCCCAGAGTGGGAGAGGAGAGCAAGAAGACGGGGAAGAGCTGGGGGTCAGGGCGGGCAGGGATAGGGGCGCTCTGTGGGCAGCGCTGGCCCGACTCACTGATCTCCTCCACGATCTTGAGGATGACGCCGCCGATGTGAGACTCGCCGGAGACCCGCAGGGTGACGGACTCCTCTTGGGCCTCTTGGTCCCCCACGAACACTTGCAGCTCCCAGGTTGCCATAGCTGCTGGCTGGGTCCTGCAGGGGAACCACAGGGGCTCACAGACCCGTCTCTAACGGCCTCCCTGGAGCCCCAGTCTGGGCCGTGTGGACTGGTGGGAGGAGAGGGGCTTCTTGGCTGTGCCTGATGGCCTCTCCGCTCACCTCTGCAGAGGGCACAGCTGCCCCGGGGTGAGCAAACAGCCTGGGGACATTGCCCGGTCGGTCCCTCCCTCCCGCCCGCGTTCCAGAGAGAGAGCTAGCCTCGGGGCTGGGCACATGGAGGGGACGCCCAGAGGAAGGCGGATGCCATCAGCCTGGGCCCCACTCACCTCTCCAGGGGGAGCCGAACGGGCGGCTTCTGCCCCTCTGCTCCTTCTCAGGCCTAGACACCCGAGGTCTGGCCTGGGTGTCCCTTCCCTCCTGGTGTGTGGGTGCGCTTTCTCTTGGGGTTGCCTGTAGGCTATGCCTTATCTGCAGTAAGACCAGCTCCACCCCTTGGGGAGGGGAGGCCCCTGGGTCCAGGAAGCCAAGTGCCTGTCAGTCAGGCACCCAAGGCTCCGCGTCTACAGGGAAACGGCAAATGGAGAAACCACGGGGAAAAGGAGTCAGAAGGAGGGCAGGGGAAGGGACCCTCCACATTGGGAGATCCCCTTGGGCCTTAAAGCCGGAGAATCATTTTTGGGGGAATGGAAATCATTAGCAGCATTTAAAGAGGAAATGAAGGAGCTCAGGAAAGGGGAGCCAGAGATGTAAGACCAGGTAGAAAGCTCCTGCCACCTGTACTGTGGACAGGAAAAAGCAGCCAGTCCCACCCACCCACGCGGCACTGTCTGATTTGTTTTCCCTTTGGACCTGCACTGCATAGAGGACCAGGTCTGGAGTCTGAAGTCTTGAGTTCAAATCTGGCCTCAGACATTACTAGTTGTGTACTCTGGGCAAGTCACTTAAAATCATTTGCGGGGCTCCTGGGTAGCGCAGTGGGTAAGAGCACTGGCCCTGGATTCAGGAGGACCCAAGTTCAAATCTGGCCTCAAACACATAGCACATACTAACTGTGTGACCCTGGGCAAGTCACTTAACTCCACTTCGTAACAAAACAAAAAAAAAACCATTTGCCTCAGTGTCCTCCTTTTTTAAAATTGGAGTAGAATAGGGGCAGGCCGGTGGTACAGATAGAGCGCCAGGCTCAGAGTGAGGAAGAGTCATCTTCCTGAGTTCAAATCTCACCTCAAACACTTACTAGCTATGCGACCCTGGGCAAGCCACTTCATCCTGAACCCTAAATGGGCTCATGAAGATTGAGACATGACTGAAAAGACAGAACCATAAAGTCATTCCCCAATTGACAAATGGTCAAAGGATATGAACAGGCAGTTCTCAGATGAAGAAATTAAAGCCATCTATAGTTACGTAAAAAAATGCTTTAAATCACTGTGGGATTAGAGAAAGGCAAATCAAAACAACTCTGAGGCACCACATCACACCTATCACATTGCTCAACATAACAAAACAGGAAAATGACACGTTGGAGATGTGGGAAAACTGGAACACTAATGCATTGTTGGTAGAGTTGTGAAATGATCCAACCATTTTGGAGAGCAAATAAAAATGTGCAAACCCAGCCATAGCACTTCCAGGGCTGTATCCCAGAGATCATACAAATGGGAAAAGGACCCTCACGTACAAAAATACTTATAGCAGCTCTTTGTGTGGCGGCAAAGAATTGGAAATTAAGGGGATGCCCATCAACTGGGGAAGGGCTGAACAAGTGGTGGTAAATAAATGTAATGGAATACTACTGTGAAATGATGAGCATAAAAAAAGGAAAATGACGAGCAAGCATGCTTCAGGAAAAACCTGGAAAGACTCGGATGGTCTGATGCTGAGTGAAGTGAGCAGAACCACGAGAACGTCGTACACAGCAACAGCCACATTGTGTGATGACTAATGTTGATAAACTTTACCCTTCCCAGCAATACAAGGATCTAAGACATCTCCAAAGGCCTCATGATGGAAAATGCTACCCACATCCAGAGAACGAACTATGGAGTCTTGAACGCAGACCAAAGCATGCTATTTGTTGTTTTTTTTTCTTGTTTTGTTTTGTTTCCTCTTTCTGGTGGTTCCTCCTATTGGTTTTAATTCTCCCTTACAACTTCACTACTGGGAAAATGTTTAACATGAGATATGTAGAGCCTCTATCAGATCAGAGAGGGAGAAAAATTTAAAACTGAAAAGCTTATGGAAGCGATTGATGACAATTTATAAAGCTGCTTAGCACCCCCATCGATAGAGCATCTACTATGCGCTGGGCATAATGTTGGGTCTGCAGGTGCAGAACACACGTCCCATGGCTTGATTGAACAGCAGGAGCGTGGACCAGGCAGTTAAGAGGGCTCCTCTGCTTTAGCTGAGTGAGGCCTCTCCTGAAGCCAGGAGCCAAGGCCTGGCCATTGGGGCTCACCAGGCCACCCTGCCCCTTTCTGAGCAGCCACCCAGCTGAGAGCAGAAACACCCAGTGCCCAGAAGAGCATGAGGAAGAGCCAGCAGCGACTGTAGCAGCTTCCTCAGCTTGGGAGGCAGTGAGTCTGGCAGTCAATAGGGAAGTTCTCTGCCTGACCCCAGACTCCCTTACTGACCCACCCAAGTGACCACCCACAAACACCCTTGCCCTTGGTCATGAGAGAACTCAGCTGGGACTGGCTGCCCCAGTAGGAGACCAAAAGATAAAGCCTTTTCCCTCCTCAGGTCACCATGGACAGTGCGTGGGGTGTCAGCTGGGTGTTCTGCTCCTGACCTGTTGGGCCACATCTAAAGGGTGACTGCCCCCCCCTAGTGACCAGGGACCCTCCTTCCCACCCTACCCCAGGCCTCCAACTGTGCAGTGCCCCCCATCTCTTCTCTGTGCAGCTCTGCCCTCAGAGGAGGCATGCACAGACCCACTGAGACAAGGGCACACACGCACACACAACCAACATTGCCGATAAAAAAACCAATCAAGGCCACAGCAAGCCATAACCACGCCGACTGGCTTGTTTTATTTGGAGGTGATGGGGGCGTGGATTTAACAATGAGCAGGGGCAGCCGGGGCCCAAGAGAAAGAAGGGGCATCCCTCCCCTCCCCTGATACACCCACTGCCCCGAATAAAAAAACAAAACCAACTAAGGGGGAGGAGAGCAGCTGGGACAGCGATGGGGGAAGGGAGGCCATGGGCTCGAAGGGGCAGCAGTGAAGAGAGAGACCATGCATGTGCTGGGGGAGCCCCGAGGCAGCAGCGGCTGTACAAATGAGGCGAGGAAGTCTGTGTCTTCCACATATATATGTATGTATATATGTATAAATATATAGAGACAAGGTGTGGGTCTCTTCTTTCCCCTTCTCTGCTCCTGCCGCGGTCCCAGCTTCTCTTTCCACAGATAAGGGGGAAGGGACAGGGGCTCAACAAGTCATCACCGAATTGCAATAAGACCCACGTCCATCAGCTTCTGGATCTTCTGGGCAATTACAGGGTTCTTTAAGTGTCTAGAAAGAAGGATGAAGATGTAACTGCGCAGGAGCCTGGGCCCCAAAGCTTGCCCTGCCCACCCCCACTCCCCAAGGTCTGCATGGAGTCAGCGGCACCTCCGTCCCCCCTCCAGCATCCCCCTGGACTCCATTTAACCCCAATGTCGCCAACTCTTCCTAAGTAATAACCGGACTCTGTGCTAATCAGAAAGTGTCACCAAGCCCCAGTTGAAAGAGCAGGACCAGGCCTCTTCACCTGGGCTCCATCCATTTGTTGTCAAAAGAACTGCTTTCTTTTGTAACCTGACAAATTTTCTTTGATGCCTGTAAAGGCCTTTTAATCGAAACATTATTTTAATATTTTATTTTTTCCAATTACATGGAAAAACAATTTCTAACCTTCATTTCATTCAATTCTGAGTTCCAAATCCTCTCTCCTCCCTTATTGAGAAAGCTTGCAATTTGATAAAGGTTATGCATGTGCAGTCATGCAAAACATATTTCCATATTAGTCATGTTGCGAGACAGACCAAAGGGAAAAAAAACACAACAAAAACCAGTCTGCTTCAGTTTGCAGAATCCATCGGTTTACAGGCCCTTTTCTGAGAAGGGGTTGCTATGCCAGGGTTTACCAGACTGCCCTGGGGGTCCAGGCTGCACCACGGCTACAGCGCCGGGCACAGGCCAGCCTGGGAAGACCTCTAAGATGCAGACAAGTCCTTGTGTGAAGCATCCCCCACCCCCCAGCCCTCCATGGCCCCCCGGCCCCCCCAACTTACTCGCTCAGCGCCTGCGGGTCCTTCTGCATCTGCTCCAGGATGAGCCGCATGGCCGGGTCACTCATTATCTGCTGCACCTCGGGGTCGGCCATGGCTCGCCGCTTCACGTCCTCAGGGTTGTCGTGGCGGTTGTACTGGGACATGACACATCGCTGGTAGCCATCTGCTGCCTCCTACGCTCCCAGAAAGGGGACAGAAGGGCAGGCCATCAGCACTGGCTGGCTCATCCACCGGGCAGGCCCGAAGTAACAGGGGACGGGACAGGAGGAAAAGAGGAAAGAGGAAAAGAGATGCAGCAAGAGGCAGATGGCAACAGGGAGAGGCCGGGGCTCGCGAGTACCAGGGGCAGGCCACAACCTTACAGCTGGAGTCCAGGTCTAGAGCCTTCTGATAGACGTCCATAGCTTTCGTATAGTCCTTCATGGCTTCGAGAGCAGCTGCTTTCCGGGTGTACCCTTTGACTGTGGGTAGAATGAAGGCGGTTGAGGTGGGGCCAAAAGCCAGATCCTAAAGGAAGCCCCTCCAGATGCGAAGCTCCCTACGTGACGACTCTCCCTCGTGCCGTGCTGTGCCAGGGCTGGGGCATAAGCTGTCTCTAGCCTTGGCAGTTTATCTTTCAAGGGGAGTGAAGATACAACAAAGAAACAAGACAGGGACTGACCCGAGACCTCCCCCAAACGCAGCGGGAGCAGTACTCACTGAAGGTTGGCTCCAGCTGGATGCACTCCTCACAGTCCTGAAGGGAGAAGGCCAAGGTGAAGGTCAGGCCCAGCCTCACCACCCCTCCCAGGCCCTCCCAGTGTGGGTCACGCCAACTACACAACCTCACAGCCGTGGACTTCAGTCCCCACACCTGCCTCTAGGTCTGCCCCAGGTGACAGCGGTAGCTGTGGGGTCTCCCTGTCCTAGCTGGCAGGGTGGGCAAGGAAAAAGGCCAGTCCCCTCAGCAGAGAGGCAAGATGTTTGGCCTCGCCTGGTGCCTGTCGGCTTCCGTGGAGCCAGCAAAGAAAAGCAGCCTCCATGCTGCGTAACAGACAGGAAAGAGCGCGCTCTTCCAAGGTGTTTGTGGGGGCACTCGAGCATCCCGGGCACGTTTCAGATAAAGGGACACGACCGAGGATAACAGGCCTGCTCAGGCTACGTGTACGTGGGCCCCAAGGCATTAGATTGGGGCAGAAAAGGGAAGGTTTTGCTCCCGCTACGCGCTCCTCCCCGACCCCTGACCTTGAGCGCCAGCTGGAACTCCAGCAGCTTGGTGTAACAGGCTGCACGGTTGCTGTACAGCTTGGCATCCTTCGGGTTCCTTCTGATGGCTTCTGTATAATGCTTCATGGCCTGAGGGTAGTCCCCTGGGGGAGAGGGGACAACTTTAAGGCCTCTGCTGTGCACAGGGGGCAGAGCGCTGGCCAAGAAGACCCTGGCAGCTCCCCTCCCCACCACCATCCTCCGTTTCCTCCTCTGCCGCCTCCAGCCCCGCGTACCCTTCTGGAAACACTCGTTGCCTCTGTTCTTCTCCTCCAAGGCCAAGTCTGGGTTGATGTAAGCCAGCCTCTCCTGCTCCTTTAGGATTTTCTCAGCCTGAGGGAAGAAACCCAAGTGGGTGCTGGAACGAGAACCCTAAACCCTCCTGATAGCCAGTTGTGCTAACGAGGCAACAGTGAGCCCTGGCATTAAAGGTAGGCTGGTTAGGTTTGGTCTTTGTTACCGGTCCCCCAAACCTATGAGCAACACCATCTGATACTCCAACCAACTTCTGAATCTGCAAAATTATCAAACAAAATCTGACAGAGGGCAGAAAACCAAGCACGTTTTGCTGTAAAAGAATTTAGTACTGGCGTAACTGGAACCCGGAGACCGACTGTGCCACAGGTGAAGGCTGCATTTGAGGTCCCTGTCCACGGGGCATGAAAGCAAGGTCATTTGCTGTAGTTAATGCCCTCAGCATGTGCCAAGGGGTGACTCAGGTCCTCCCTAAGACCCATCCAGGGGCAGCTAGCTGGTGCAGTGGAGAGAGCTCTGGCCCTGGAGTCAGGGGGACAGACCTGAGTTCACATCTGGCCTCAGACACTTGACACTTACTAGCTATGTGACCCTGGGCAAGTTACTTAACCCCGAATGCCTCACCAAAAAACCCCCAAAGACCCACCCAGCTTCTACTTAGTTCTTTTTTGGGTAAAGCAGAATGGAGTGGGAAAGAAATCCTTCCACACAGACGCAAGTCAGGGAGAACACGGCGCCTTCCTGCCACTGACCTGCTGGCATTTCTTGAGAACGTCTGGGGTCCTGTGCTCGGCCAGAGACTTGTTGTAGAAGTGGATGGCTTCCTTGTATCTCTCCTCTTTGAAATATGAGTTGCCGATTCGGGCATAAGCTCTGGGAAGGGGAAGCATGGGGCAGCTCAGCTGACCTCCGACCCCTCAGAAGGCCTCCCCTCCCCCACGCCCAGTCTCCAGCCAGGGTTGGGGGGCACTCACTTTGCAATCTGCCGATAGTCCTCCCGATTCTCTCTCCCCACCTCGATGGCCTTCTCGCAGAGCTCTCGGCACCTGTCGTAGTCTCCCTGTTCGAAGTACACCGCTGCCAGGACAGAAGAGTCAGGCCGCGGCCGAGGCGGGCCCGCCCACCCGCCCTTCCTAGGGCCCTGCGCTCTTCCAGGCACTCACCTGCCTGATTGGTGATGTAGGTCATGTTCGTAGGGTCCAAGCCCTTGGCTCGGTCGTAATGCTTCAGGGCCGTGGCAAAGTCTTTCTTCTTGTAGGCATCATTCCCCAGCTCTTTTTCTTTCAGAGCCTGGAGGAGGGTGAAGAAGGAGGAAGGACAAACTAATGACCATGGAACGAGCAGAGCACGGCCCCCAAGGCAGCCCCCCACCCACCCACCACATAGATCCCATCGCGAACGCAGAGGGAGTGCAAAGTCGGCGCTCCTCACGCACCCTCCACTTAGTTTGGGACAAGGTTTTTATTTCTGGCTCTCGGCTGCTGGCCACCCACACTGCCACAGGATTCCGTTCAGCAGGGAACAATGACGGAGGGGGTGGTGGGAGGGCTCGGAAAAAGGACTCGAAGCCCCGGCAGGAGGGATCAGCTGCGCCTGGGGGGGCTGCCACCCCGGCTCTGAGGCACCCTGACACAGCCCACGTGCGGCCCTCGTGCTGGGCACTACGCTGGGGAGCAGCTGGTCAGCTGTTACTGCCAGCAGGGAACCGACGAGGTGTCCCGGCACACGCCGAGCGGGGAAGGCGCTGCTGTGAAGCACGAGACTGGTGTCACGCTCGCTCTCTGTGCCCAACACTGCTTGAGGTGAGTTTGAAAGGCAACAAGCAGAGAAGTCTTACAACTCTCCTCTCGACTGAGGCAGGGACCACGTCCCTGCCCAGTGGTCACACCCAATAGGGGCCGGACGCCAGTGACCACGGAGGGCTGCCGAGTGCCTCAGTGTGACCATCCTCACGAGGGACGGCCACCCCAGAAGTCCTCGAACGGCACCAAGCCATTCATGTGCTTTAAAGCAAACGAAAATGTCCCTTCTTGATAGGCCTGGGGGGCCCGCTCTGAAAACAGAGTCCTCTGCTACACACTCGTCACGGCTGCTGGCTGGGGAGGATGACGGTCAGGGAAGCCCATACCTGCTTTTTGTTCTCAGGGAGATCTTCCTCCATAGGCTCGGGCTTGGCCTCCTTCTTGGGGGGAGGGGGTGGCGGTGGGGACACCACCTCCTCCTCCTCGTCCATGCCGCCTAAATCCACACCGAGGAGCACGCTCAGTGTGGTCATAACACGGGGGTCCTGCAACTTCCTGGAATGTGGGCGATACAGAAGAGCGGCCGTGGGTGTCCCTCAATGACCCACAGCTCAGACCTCTCGCTGAGCCACGTCTGTGGTCAGAAGTCACCTCCCACTCCCAGGAGCCCCTGGTTCCTTCCATCCCCACAGAGAAACACGAGCTTTCAGATTAGTCTGAGGGAAGGCAGGGGCACGCCGGACAGAGCTGGCCTTGGGATCGGATCCTACATTTAACAACAGGCTAGAGGTATAACCACAGGCAAGTCCCTCAACCTTGCGCCCCCAGGAAGCTGGAAAGCTACAATTTAAAGGAGCTGCCAATCGCCTTCAGAAGAAACCAGTAAACTGGCTCCTCACCCTGACCAAAAACTAAAGGAAAAGAGAGTCTAAGAGGGCAAAAGCTTGGGCAGGGGGAAGTCGTCAGGGGTCTGATGGGCACCTCTCTCACTGGGGACACGTGAACTCTTGAGGGGGGAGATGGGGGGGGTCGATGCCCTCACTCACGTGCCCAAATCTGAGGGCTTGTTGCGAAGCTGCTCGATCAGCTCCTTGTAGCTGGGGTCATTTAGCAGGGCCCTCGTCCGAGGGTCATTCTCCAACTTCTGGTACAGGTGGGGGGTGTTGAAGGGGTTCATGAACTTCCTCTCTGCACCAGACACAATAACAAAGCCTGTCACTCTCTGCTACAAAGGGTCCCCCAGGGAAGCCTTGGATTCACGAGGACAAGGGGGAAGGGACGGCCTGTGACACCCACCGGCCAGCCGGGCCTCCATGTTCTGCAGCCCCTCCTTGAGCTGGGAGTTGCTGGCTTCATGCTTTAGACCCTCCTCGTAGGTCCGCTTAGCTTCTTCAAACCGGTTTAAGAATTCGAGCGCGGCCGCCTTCCGGGAGTAGCCCTGAAACATCGGAGGAGACTCTGGGTGAGAACACGGACGCCGCCTGTGGGGCTGGCAGCCACCGCCAGGGGGCCCTTCCCCAGCCCACCTTGCCCCACTCTGGCTTCAGGTCCACCGTCTTGCAGCCATCCTCGTAGGCCTTCTGGTAGTCGCCCTTCTTCGCGTACGCAGCAGAACGGTTGCTGTAGAGCACGTGGTTCTGGGGGTCCAGCTTGATGGCTTCCGAGTAGCACCTCAGGGCATCGTCGATGTTGCCGGCACTCAGGGCCTTGTTGCCCTTCTCTTTCAGCTCATTCACCTGAGAAAGGGATGAGGTAAAAGGCGACTCACCAGGGAGAAGTCCTCTGCCACCATTTCTTCACGCCCGCACGTGGGGGAACACTGGTTTTGAGCCACCACGCACAAGACCAATGCATGTGTCTGGAGCTTTTCTGGCCTTTCAGACAGAAACCTGCCGCCCCAATGGAGCTCCCCCTTCCCTGACGAGTTTAGAAAAATACACGGTCCTCAGTGTTTGCAGAATTGAACACATACACACCTCACCGAAGCCTTAGGACGATCCTGTCAGGTGCTACAGGCATGAATCCCACTTCACAGAGGACCAACGGCTTGTCTAGTCAGAGCTAAGCCTGAGGCTAGATTCACACCCAGATCAAGTCCAAAACACTTTCTATGACTCCACCTGAACCATAATCTAAAACGGACTGCCTCTTTCTATGCTAAAACACAGAAAGAGGACAGACAACAGCATACTGAAGCTCCCTCACAGCTGGAATAGCTTATTTTGTCTGAAAATCTTCCACTCCTCACTCAAACAACAGATCTAAAATGTTCAGGCACACAAATAAGCCGGAAAGTCAGACTGCTGTGGGATTGACCTATGGATTAACCTGAAGAAAAAGGGCAGTTTTGTTTTGTCACGTGTTTCCCAAGAGTCCAACAGAGGGATTAACTCTCTTGACTCCCTTGGGGCAGGAACTTGTTAGCAAAGAAAGCATGTAGACATGTCGTTCTGTTATGGTGACTCGGTTGGATTTCTGGAAAACTAGGAAAGGCTTCCTACTTCCGGAAGTGAAGAGATGCCATTTCCTTGGCATGGTTAGACCGTGTTCCTGGGTCTAATGAGAACCCTCCCCTCACTGAGAGGGTCATGAGTCATCCATAGGACAGGCAAACACTTTTCTCCTAAGTGGAGAAGGGATGGGGGAAAAAAAGGGGGAGCACCCTCAGATCACTGTGGGAGATTAAAATAAAACCTGCCCCCTGCTCAGTTTAATTCAGCCAAATCTATGACTCATTTTTTAATCTCCAGTTGAAGTAAACGCAGGAGGAACAAACATGAGGGAGAGCCCATGTTACCACTTCAGGACCTCCCTCACACCACCAGACAAGGGCCTTAAGAGGAAAAGCTGGTAGCTTCTCACACATGGGTGCTGAAGTACAGAACCTCCAACAAGTAAAGGGTCATCCCTGATTGAAAAAGAATCCCCCCATTTGTACTAATTATCTCACCCTTTAAAATGAAGAGTCTATATAAAGCTCAAACCCAGCCATCCGCATCCTTAGTATGAGCGCTACAAACAAGAATATTGCCAATTGCCACCTTTCCATTGGTATTTGGGCAGGCACAGGGGGGAGTGAATGGCATTTCTAACTTGGGGATTCTGAATTCTGATGGGGGAAGCAGGAGGGAGAATCCCCACTCAGCAGGTGAGTTTGGGCCAGTCAAGAAATAAAAAGAGCACGTTGGGGTGTGGGTGATTACCCAATGGGATCACAGAGGGCAGCTCAAGTGGAACAGTCTGACTGGGCTTGTAATGCCAACGTAATGCAACTTAAAAGATGGGATCCTCAAGATTCAAGTACCCCTCCCCCTAATGGTGCAGCTCGTGGTGTGCACATGTTTCTTACAGCTCACAGAGGCTCATAATCACAAAATGAGTGAGGGGATTATTCAAGGGTAATGAAAGAGCCAGACAACACACGAACCTACAAGGCACTGAGGATGAGGCTGTTCTCAAACCTGGGATCAAGAGAAAGGGCACACTAGGAAGGCCTGGACTCTACCCAAGTGGGTCAACTGGACAAATCCCTTTCTCAGCCTCAGTTTCCTCATCTGTAAAACGAGTGTAGGTGGGTGAGGAACACCAGGTGATATCTAAATGCTAGCAATCTACGGTTCCAAGATGAGGTTTGCAGATCACTGTACTTGAGGCTAGTTTCCCCACAGATGGACAGTTGTCGCTTCTTAACTCCTACTGGCCTCCTCTGTCCTCGACGGAACCTCATGGAGGGAGGGCCCCTCCAACGTTACTGCTTTTTCTTCCCTCCAAGTCTCTTTCTGAACTCAGAGTTTTCCTCCTGGGCCGGCTCAGCGCGTGAGAGTGAGCCAGAAGGCCGAGCGGCGATGCCCCTATAATAACAGACGAGCTCTCGGCTTTCTCCTCCTAGAGACAGACCGGCTAGCTTCGCTCCCCAGGTCACCGAGAGCCACCAGCCTCCAACTGTGACCCGGCCTGGCCCAAAGCCACCGACAGCGGTGCAGTCTGTGAGCGAAGGAACCGGAAACTTAACCCAGGCTCATCCTTTTGATTTTGCTGTCACCGTACCTTTGATGAACACTGAAACTCAGAGAGCAGAGCTCAGAGGAAATGGAGGGGAGAGCCATGAAGTTGGAAAGAAGAGGCTGGTTTAGGAATGGTTCTGAATCCAAGGCCAGGACACTCCCCAGCCCCTCTTTCTGGTGCCCCTGCATTGATTCCTTAGGGGGTGATCTCCTGGGCAGGGCAGGGCTCCCTCCACCTCACCTTCCCCAGGTGCCAACTTTTTGGGCCCCTTGTCTCTCGAAACAATCCCCCCTCAAAGCCTCTGAGCCCCCACCCCAGAAAACAAGCCCCTGGACCAAGTCTCAGGAAACACGGGTTTGCTGAAGATTTAAAGCCCCAGAAAGACGTGGCTACTACACCCCCCCTTCCCTAGCACCTCCATCAAGAAGCCCCCCCAGGCACAGAAAAGGGGCATTTCTGGTTAACTCGGGGCCCCCCAGCCCCTCATTAACTTCACTCTGCCCCCACTGACTTCAAACCTCCCCCGCCCTTAGCTCCATCACAATCTCAGCCCCCAGTTTCTCCTGTTTACCCCCCCCACCGTGGACCCCCCTCCCCTCCATCCCAGCCAGCCCAGGAGCCCCATGCGGGCCTGCCCCCTCCTCGGACCCATTTCCCGCCCCCGCCTCTGACCCCCCACTTACTTCCTGTCTCTCTTCCCCGGCTCCTCAGGGACCTCGGGCGTCCCCCCCAAACCTCACAGGCCTCTCTCTGCCCCGCGGGGCCCAAGGACCGCTTCCCCAGCCCCCATGAGACTCACCTTTCCTCCAGACCCTGCCCCTCCCCCCTCACAGCCCCCCCCATGCCAGACCTTGCCCCTCCCCCTCACAGCCGCCCCCTTCCTCCTTCCCGGGTCCCGTCCCCCTCCCCTCAGATCCAATCTGCCCTCGGAGCCCCAATAACCGCCCTCTGCCCCCGGTCCGACCCGACCCCGCCGCCCCCCCCCGGGCCCCCGGGGCCCCCCCCCCCCCCCCCCCACCCCCGGCTCACCCGCCTCCCTTGCTCGCCCGCCGGCTGCCGGCCGCTCCTCACCTGCTCCATGGCCCGGGCCGGAGCCGAGGCAGCCGCGAATCCGTCCGCCCGCCCGCCCGCTCGCGCCCAGCTCCCAGCCGCACGCGCCGCCTTCTGGAACCTACTAGAAGCTGCCGGGACTCCCGGCTCCCGCCCCTTCGTAGCCGCCCCATTGGTGGAGTCTTTCCTCTGAGCCCCTCCTCCCCTTGTTCCGAGAGGCTGACTCCCCTGCCACTCATAAGCACCTCCCTTTCATTGGGCGGCGGACGGCGATTCGCTCTGCCCTTAGCCTTTTCTTCCTCGCCATTGGGCGTTCCTTGGCACGGCCCGCCCCGGAGCCTGCTTGACGACTGGGCGAGGGGCGGCCTTCTGCCATGTTCATTGGTTGGTGGGAGCGCCGGTCTGGTTGGCGCTGGCCGCACCCATTGGTCCAGTTCCTTCTGGAAATTTCCACCTTTCCCATTGGGCTGACGAGCACGATGACGCCAGAGCCATCGATGAGGAGCGATTCTATTGGGCACAGGGTCTCCAAGCGCTTCTGTGTGATAGGTCGCCCTTGCTGCCGCTCGAGCAGACTGTTGCCGCGGCCTTGGCCCTTCCCCCGCTCCCTTAACTCGCGGAGGGGTGCCTAGGCTGTGTCAGGCGGGCCGCGCTCGCTTCCGGCAGCCCTGGGGCTACCCTGGGATATAAGCACGAGCGTCTACCTGATGCACTTTGTCCTCTCAAACTGGGACCTGGGCCAGGGGTCCCTGGGGGTGGGACGGGCCTCGGTTTTCCTATCTGTGAAATGGGTTGCGGGATCTCCACTCCTCCAGAATGTGGTGCGGCTTGACTGAGAGTTCTGTACTGGAGGTGGAGTGCAGGGGAAAGATCTAACTTCACCTTCGACTGCCTCAGTTTCCCTCAGCTATAAAATGGGAATCGTAATAGCACCTACCTGGCATCCATAATAATTAAGCACAGTACTTGGTACTTGGTACACAGTAGGCGCTTAACAAATGCTTATTTCTTTCCTATTTGGAGCAACTGGCTATTTCTGTCTCAAGCCTGTTTCCCATCTGTAAGATAGGAAGATAGCTACGTCAGGGCTGCTGAGTGGGACCCGCTGAGCCTCAGTTTGCCCGTTCATAAAATGGGAAGGATAGCAGCCCCTGCCTCTGATGAGGATGGGAGCTAGACCCCAAAAAGGAAAAACCCCCGGACTTTGGAACTTGGCCAAATCTCTGGCGTTTGCCGGAGGCTACAGTCCCATCAACTGGCCTTTCATTGTGGCTCACCAAATCTCCCAATTCTGTTACCCTTAACCTAGCCTAGCCCTCCATTGTCTTACCTCCCTAGGGGCCCGGGCCACTTCCCACCCTTAATCCTGTCTGGGCTCTAGTCTCCCTGGGCCTCTGGATCCAGGTCCCTGGCCTTCTATTACCTCTTAGGCTACTTGGCCCCTCCTAGATCCCTCCCACGGTCTTTCTGTATGTAAGGTCCATCTTGTCTCCCTTAAACTGCTCAGATTCCTAAAATCTAGCCAATGCTTTGAAGGCTCTTAGATTCCTCAAGAGTCTGGCCAATATGGCGGATCTTTAATACACCTTGTCTTTGGCTGAAAGAAGGCCTGGGTCGAATTCTTTCGGGCTGGACCCTCGTGTCGTGATCTTGGGGTCCCAGCACCCCTAAACCTCTAGACCTCATCACATCAGGGGTGCTGAGTGGGATACTCTGAGCTAAGCTTTCTAAGCACTCAAGCTTTACGTGGATGTGAGCTAGGTCACTGACCTCCGCACAGAGGGGATGAGGGTGCCCAAAGATTGATTAGCAGGTGTTTTGGGGAGGAGGAGGTGAGGATGGGTGCAGACTAAGAGATGGAAAGGGGCCTTCCAAGTCACTTAGGCCGTCCCCCTCATATTACAGATGAGGAAACTGAGGCTGGGAGAAGTAGCCAGATCTGCCCGAGGACACCCAGGTAGTGAAAGGAGCACAGCTGAGGTTTCAGTCCAGCTCTCTTTCTAGGGTTTCACACACTGCCCCAAGATCTGAGTTCGAATCCTGAAGCCACCAATGATCAAATAACTCGGCAGTCACGGCCTGGGTTCCCTTACTTGTCAAACAGAGATAACAACATTTGCACCATCAAATAACAGGGTCCACGAGGAGCTTTTGCTGATTTGAGGGTCCTCAAATCTGATTCTGACCAAGGGTTCTTAACCTCTTTTGTGTCCTGGACCCCTGGGAAAACCTGGAGATCCCTTCGCAGAATCAGGTTTTTAAATGCATCAGAGCAAATACATAGGATGGCAAAGGAGACCAGCTATGTTGGAATAAAGTGATCAAAATATTAGCAAGCATGGGGCCCAGGGCCCTGACCCCTGACCCCAGACCCCACACAGAGTTGTATGCATATAGTACTACATGTTATGTATAACATTGCTAACAGAATAGAATTGTATGATATATACACAGAGTAGCCAACCTGTATGAGTGGAAGAGCCTTCCGCACCAGGAGGTCCCTGTATGAGTAAAATAACATGACCATTTATTATTTTTTCTGGGTAATTAATAATCATTTTATCAATTATGGCTATTTGATAACTAATAATAGTCATTCGACTGTCTTGCCTAAACCAAAGTTTGACTATTTATTATTAAATATGGAATAATTGCAAAGCCTGGCCCACAGTAGGCACTCTATAAATGCTGGCTATCATTACTATCGTGAAGTTGCCTACGTAAGGGCACAGCTTCAATGCTTTTTCTCTGGGGTGCTTTATAAAACACTCCGGTAACAAGGTAAGGGAGATGGAATACATCTATGTAGTCTATATGATACAGCCTTGGTGCTGATTGAGCAATATAACAATCCCTCATTTTCCTGGGAGCCCCCGCCCTCAGGGATCTTACATTCTCCTGGGGAAGATCACTTGTACATAAATAAATGAACACAAAATGAAGGTATATACAGGGTTAATCAGCAGCGGTGGGGGCGGGGAAGTGGTGGGGAGGGAGCAGAAAGGGCCTCGCATAGAAGGTGCCGCTTGAGCAGTTTTGAAGAAAGCAATGGATTTTAAGAGGTGGAGATGAGGAGGGATGGCATCCCAGGCAGGGGGTACAGCCAAGGGGTACAGGTAAAGACAGGAGGTGGGAGATTATTGTGTAAGAGAACAGCAAGAAAGCTGGACCATACTGTATGGGAAAGGAAATACCACTTAATCAGGTGGGAAAGCTAGCTTGGACAAGATGACTGAGTTCCCTTCCAGCTCTGAGGTCCTGTGATCCCCCTCCCTCAGAAGAGTCAGACCCAGCTACAACTCACTCATCTGTAGGCTCCTAACTGGCCTCCCTGCCTCCAGTCTCTCCTCTCTCTCCAATCCATCCTTCACACAGCAGACTGTGCTCTGCATACAGTAGGAGCTTCATAAATGCTTGTTGCTTGACAGGCTGACTGAGCCATTCCCTGCATACTTTCCAGGAAGCTTGGGAAGTTTGGGACCCATCTCTCAGACTGGAAGGTAAAGAAATTCACCCTGAATTTTCTCCTCCTCTAGGAGCTGAGCAGCCACCAGGCCCTAAGGGAAGGACGGTTTTTTCCTTGACATGTCTCACACCATCTGAGCCTTTCATTCAAAGCTGCCCTTGGAGGAGCCATCCCAGAGACTCAGGGGTGTCAGTAATGTGGTCAATCTCTATTGAAATTTCAGTTCTCTACCGTCCGTTCCCCGGGTCTCCACCCACCCTGGTCGTCATGGGCACAGACCCAGCCTGGGGGCTCTTCTGCCCCTCTCTGTCACCTCCCTGGTCCATCTCAACCTTGACGCTGCCAGCCTAGTACAGGGACAAAAGACCGGTGATTTAAGATGATTCCTGGATGCTCTGCTTAGCATTCGAAGGCCTTGATAGCTGGCCCCCTCCTCCTCTTCAGGTCCCTTCCACCTCCCTCCCCACAAGTGCTCCTTGGTCCAGTGACCCAGGCCTCGGGGCTGTCCCTCCCGCTTCTCTCTCCTGGCATCCTCTCCAGCCTGGAACACTGTCCCTCTTTCACTCCCACTACTCACCTCGCCAGCTTTCGTAAGGCCCAAGTAAAAACCCCACCTTCCACAGGAAGCCTGATCCAAGCTCTCCTTATTCCTGTGCCTTCCCTCTGTTAATTATTTCCAAGGTATCCTGGTTTAGGCTTGCCTTGGATATATTTGTTTGCATGTAATCTCACTAGATTGTAAACTCCTTGAGGGCAGGGACTGTGCTTAGCCTCTTTTTGTATTTCCAGTGCTTAGCACAATGCCTGGCACTTAGTAGGTGATTAATAAATGTTTACTGAATTGAATGACTTATTAACAATGCCTGGTGCATAGTAGGTCCTTAATAAATGCTTGTTCCCTTCCCTTTTATTAAACCTGATTCATCACGACATTACGAGGACGACGGCTTTCTTGACTTGCTCCTGAACTGGATTTAAGTGAGGGGTAATGGAGGACTTTGAACTGGAAGGCCCTCAGAGGCCATCTAGGCCAAGCCATTAGACAGAGGAGGAAATTGATGCTTAGAGAGGGTAAGAACTTGCCTTGTGTCCCCCAGGCAGTAAGTGGAAAAGGCAGAATTAGAACTCAGGTCTTGTGACTACATCTACAGCACCAGGCTGCCTTCCCTTGTAAACAACCCTGAAGATCTACGTCAAGTCCTCTGCAGCCTTCAAATGCTCCTGGACCAACTGAGTCACATGGGCCAGTGGAGAGAATGCAGGCTTTGGGAGTCGGGACCCTCTGGGTTTCAATTCTCCTCCCCTTCCATTTAGTCTCAGCTAATACCCCCTTTCTACAGGAAGACCCTTCTGCTTCTCCTCAATTCTAGATCCCCCCCCCCACCATTATCTCCCTCAAATCCTGTCTCTAGCCTGTCTGTCAGCCTCTGGAGGGCAGGACCGGTTCCTCCAGGGCTTGGCCCAGTAGCTGGCACATAGTAGGTGCTTTAAGATGCTTGACTGCCTATGTGACCTTGGGGCAGTTCTCTCCCTGGGCCTCAGTGTCACCCCTGGTTAAAAGTGATTTCTGAGATCTCCTTTAGGTGATGGACTTTGGTCCCCTGCTTTGCAAACTCTAACGTGTTATATAAGTCATTTTTTAAAATTTGTGCCCCAGAAGGAAGCGTGCCAGGACAGGGCTGGCTGATCACCAAATCTGAGGCCCCGTCAGGACGGGTCGTGTCCTGGCTACCCCAGTGTGATTCTGGCGGCAGAGCTGGCTGCTCCTGGCTGGTGGCCAGTAAAGAGCCAAGGGCGGCTGGGGGGGCGGAGCCGGCAGGGGCAGACAGCTATTTCTAGCCTGAGTTTGGATTCCAGCAACAGGTGATGGGGCCGGGTCAAGCACGTGGGCCCCCGACTGAATGGCTAAATCGAGCATTCCCTGGTGTCCTGGGAAACTGGAGACAGGACATGAGGGCAGGGGGGCGGAGGGGAGGGCTGGGACTCAGGATGCTGGGAGATGTAGTCCTGATTTGTTGGGGGACACAGTGAAAGAGAGAGAGACAGAGAGAGAGAGACAGAAAGACAGAGAGAGAGAGAGACAGAGAGGGTGTGTGTGTGTGTGTGTGTGTGTGTGTGTGCGTGTGTGTGTGTACACAGATATTTCAGATGAACCAAACCGCCTTCTGTCAGCAGCCGTCTGGCAAACCTTAAAATATCTGCCTTGATGATAAATCTCTCTTGTTATTCATGCCCACTACACCTAGAGCTCACTCCAGTTCCAGGCATTCTGAGGTCAGGGAGCCCTCTACCATTATAATATCATGAGACAAGAATCGTAACATAAGCCATCATCCAAGAAAGACGGGACGAGAAAAAAGACGGGCAGTCCCGGACATCCGGGGAACGTGTATGGCAGCCCAGAGGTCTCCAGAGAGCACGGAAGGCCTCCATGCCCTTGGATGGACCCTCTGTGGGGCTGCCGCCTGCATGGGGAGGAGTGCCCATAGCCCTCAGACCAGAAGCCTGCTGGACCATTGGGGCACACCATGACCAGGACACCTCAGCCTCAGATTTGCCAATTGCTTTCTCATAGGATTGAGGATTTAGAGTTGGAAGGGCCTTTGGAGACCTTCCCCTCCAACCCCTCATTTTACAGATCAGAAAGCTGAGACACAGAGTAGGGAAATTGATTTTCCCAGCATCATAGGACTAGTAAGTATTGGAGGCTGGGCTTCCTGCCTCCAGCTCTGTTGTTCTATTCGGAGTTTCTGTGCACCCACACCTTCTGCTTAGACCTGCCCTGAACTTGTGGGAACCTTCGGAGTGTGGTATGACTCTGGCTCCACATTGGACCTGGGTTCAAATCCAGATGTAGCCATTTCATCTGAGTCACCTTGGACAAGTCTCCTACCCTTCCTCCTGGTAGGTTACATGAGATAACGACCTGAGTCAGAAGTTAGTTTAGACTCTACCAGATACAGAGCCCAGGCCCAGCCGTCTCAGCCCAAGGGGTTCGGCTCATACGTCCCGCTGGGATTTCTGCTGTCCCTGCCCTTTTCTTGCTGGGATGCTGCAAGGACTATGGGAAGGTGTACCTCTGTGGGTTTGGGGTGGGCCACCCAACCTGACATACCGGTTCTGGCTACCACAGGCCCACAGGTCCCAGCCTCCCTGGCCTGAATTCTGAGCAGATGCAGGGCTGGGCAAAGGCAAACAAATAAACAAACGCAGCTAAGGTGTGTCCTCCCACCTGGGACAAGCAACCAGGGCAACCGGGTATGGCACCCCAGCTCCAGGGACCTTGGGGGAGTCACCGCTCCTCTGGGCTTATTTGTCCTCCTGAGGAATGGATCATATAGACCAGGAGCTAGACGGGCTGTCTAGCCCAGGTCTCAAACTCATGGTGCTATTTTCTAGTAAAGATAACTCATGACTGTCTGTCCTATCAACTTGTCTGTCGCATTTGTCTCTAGCAATTTGTCTATTCTGTCATCGATATCTATCTATCTACCTGGGTGGTGCTGTGGATGGAGTGCAAGGTCTGGAGTCAGGAGGACTTGAGTTCAAATCCTGCCTCAAGCACTTCCTGGGCAGTGACCCTGGGCAAGTCACTTAACCCTGTTTGCCTCAGTTTCCTCATCTGGACAAGGAAATGGCAAACCACTCCAGTATCGTTGCCAAGAAAACCCCAAATGGAGTCACGGACTGAACGTCTATCTGTCTGTCTATCCTTCCTCAGCCCATCAGTCCTCACAGCTTGGTGATATGAAGAACGCTCACTTCCACTGTCGTTAGAATGTCAGCCTTGTGAGGTCAGAACAAGTGTTTCTTTTGCATCTGTACCTCCCGGGCCGCCAGCTGGATTCATAACTCCTGCAGCTCAGGCAGCCTGCCTTTGCATTGGTCATGCCCCCAGGTCAGCCATATTCATCCTCCGCCTCCCGGCTTCTTTCAGGACTCAGCTGCGCTCCCCCCTTCCTCCATCTGCTCGTGCTAGCTCTCTAAATCTAGTTATTTCCATGTTGTTTTCCCCGCCTTAGGCTGGGAGCTCCGTGAGGGCAGGGGCTGTTTTTGCCTTCTTTCTATCTCCAGGGTTTAGCACTGGGCCTGGAACCCAGGAAGGGCTTAACAAATGCTTGTTTCGGGAGAACTGCTCCCAGTCTCCTACCCTGAGTTACAGAGCTAGTAGATTTCAGAATCCAGGTCTTCCTCACTTCTCAGTCTGGTGACTTGCCTGTCCCACGTCACAGAAGAGAAAACTGGGGCTCAGAGATCAGATACGTCTTGTCCAATATCACGGCTTCCGTGTTTTCTAGAACCCAGACTTGTCTCCAAACCCCAGCCTCTGTGCCTGCTACTGACCATGGCCCGTGGAGCTGGGTTATTGGAGCTGTGAAGCCGTCCAGCCAAGCTGCCATCAAACTGCCCCAAATGTGTGTGCCCTTTAATCCAGCACTACCAGCGCCTGGCCTATACCTCAAAGAGATTAAAAAAGAGAGAGAGAAAGGAGTCCAGTGCCCAAAACCATTTATAGCTGCTTTTTTTCCCCTTAGTAACCAACAGAGGGTGTCCTTATTAACTCAACAAATTGTGGTCTGGGAATGCAAAGGAATGTTACGTGCTATAAGTGACTCAGTGGACGTTTTCAGGGAGACCTCTGAGGACTGATGCACAGCCAAGGGACAAGCAGGGGCAGTATTTATGCAGTGATTACCACCTTTTAGAGAGAAGGGCTTAGAAGGGTTTGCAGTGACCAGCCGGACGTCCGGGAGACCCGAGGCCGCTCCCCTGAGGACAGGGAGGCAGGACGAGACCCACATTTGGGGGGGCACGGCCAGCTTGGCTTGGTTGGGGCGCGTGTTGGTGCATGCATGCACGCACGTGGGGGCTTG